ACCTCGTCCGCTGCTGCGTTTGCCTGCCGCGCGGAATTAAAAATATTTTACTATTTTGTCGTATCGCTATCGCCATCGTAAGATCGAAATATCGTAATCGGACCATCGTAACTCGGGGACTAAAAGTAAGCCCGATATTTTTTTCGAACAGCGACGTAAGCCGTGTGCTTTGTGGTCTAATGGGAACAATGAAAAGGGAGGGGGGGGGGGGTTGATGGACGGCAAACAGAGTCCAGAACCAAGCTGTAGACGAGAGCCAACTCCAGGAACGTGGAGTGGCAGCGTGGAAATACTTTGCACCAAACTGAAGCGTGAGTGGTCTGCCCCTCCGTTCTTCGTGTCTGACCTTGGCGTGTCTTGCAGTTCACGGCGGCTTCGGTGAAGGAGCCGACAGCTGGGTGGAGGCCATACAGAAGATGACCGGAGGTGCTCACACACAACATACAAAGACAAAGATCCCCCGTGTAGCCTTAACAGACTGTAGGGGCAAGTGCTGTTAGCGAGCAGCACCTATGAAGGCCGCCACGGCACACGAGGTGTGGGTTGGTTGTCAACGCCATGGCTGGGGCCGCCTTTGCCTCCCTAGTGGCGATGTTTCCACATCGCCCCATGTGCTCATTTGAGGCTGAGTCGACCTAGGAGTGGCCCAGGACCGGTTCACACACAAACGCATGCTCACGTATTCATGACTTTAATTGCTTACAACTGTGGGGCCGTTTAGCCGCAGACTCAAGATATTGAACCTCTGTACCCAAGAGGGTAATGCTTTGATGTTTGAATTGTCCTTGTCCTGCTCGGCATTTGGGGGCCTTCGTCTGTAGCACCGGTGAGACAATGCCTTGAAGCAGGCTGTCGAGTGCAGGTCGGTGAGCTTCAAGGATGTTGTTTACATTCTCGAAGCACATTTGTTTCCGTTACTACCACAAGTATGTGCAGACTTGATGCCTTGTTGCAATAGGTGTCTCTTTGGTGTTCGGTACCTTAACACCTCCTGTATTTATTCCAGATGCGATCAAGCCTATTTTGTATAATTCAATACAATCATTGTTCGTGCAGGAAAGCCAAATTTGGTGTATAAGCACAACAGCAGTAACAGCGGCAATAAAATACCAAAAACATCAACATGGTCAAGAGCGAACGCATTACTAGCAAAGGGGGCATCTGACGGTCGTCAACAAAGCACACACTTGAATCGAAACACTACGCAAACGTATTGTGAGAGCGAGCGGCTCCGGGAAATGTTCGGTACGGGTGCAAGTAAGTAATGGCAGGGCCTGCTTCGTGCTGCTGCCTGCTGCCTGTTGCATGCTGCCTGCTGCATGCTGCTGCCTGCTGCTGCTGCCTGCTGCTGCCTGCTGCCTGCTGTCTGCTGCATGCTGCATGCTGCCTGCTGCCTGCTGCATGCTGCTGCTGCATGCTGCCTGCTGCTGCTGCATGCTGCTGCTGCATGCTGCCTGCTGCTGCTGCCTGCTGCTGCTGCTGCAGACTGGGACGTGTATTACAGAGACGTCTACCAGGGCCTGTGGGACTGCAAGGCCGACGCGGCGGACGAACTCTCCTTCCGCCGGGGCGACCTCGTCCACATCGTGAGCAAGGTAGCGCGCTCGGACACGCCACGGGTTCTGTCGACGGCGGCGTTTGACGAGACACATTGAAGCAAAACGAGAACAAGGGAATAACAAATCGACAGACACCAGATCTCTGTGGTGCATCGTCAAAAAACGAGAGTCCAGGAGGGTGCCGAGGATACGAGCAACTTTAAGAAAAAAATTTAAAAACCACTCGCAGCTCACACTTCCTGTGGACGTAACCGACCGTCCGTCCGTACGTCCCTCCCTCCCTCCAGCCCAGCCAGCCACCCAGCAAACCTTTTGTCAAATCCGTGCAGCATAGTGTGACGTATGATACGTTAGCAGGTAGGGTATCACGTGCATTTGCGTGGGATGCAGCCCGGTAGTGGAGGGTGGGGGGGAGGGGCGCGGGGGAGGAGAGGGGGGGGGTGACGTGAGCCGCGAGACGAACGATCCCGACTGACCCGCTGCGGTCTTGCGTAAGGTTCACCTTCAGGACGATGAAACGTCTAACGGCGGTGCCGAGTGGCACGTCTCACGGGTATCGCGTGCGACTCATGCTCTTGCTATTCTTTGGTTCTTTCGGTAAAGTCACGTAGGTATAAAAATAACATAAAAATGAAATTAAGCAAAAAAAAACCCACGACGTTTCGATCGCAAACACAAGCGCTCTTCATCAGGTGGAGAGAAGAAGACCGTATTCTTAGGTTTTTTTCGGTAAAGTCACGTAGGTAAAAAAATTTAAATTAATAAAAGTAAAATAAAATAAAAATCACGACGTTTCGGAGGCAACACAAAGCTTCCGTCTTCAGGTGGAACCGCCACAGCCACGACAGCTTACTTGATACAGAAGACGGAAGCTTGTGTTGCCTCCGAAACGTTGTGATTTTATTTTATTTTACTTTTATTAATTTTAATGTTTTACCTACCTGGTGACTTATACCGAAAAAAACCTAAGAATAAGAATCCTTGCAGTCACGAAAGCTTCAAATCTAGAAGAAGACGGCTTGTGTTGCGATCGAAACGTGGTGGGTTTTTGCTTTTATTTTACATTTTATTTAAAATTTTACTTTTAATTTAATTTCATTTTTATTTCTATCTACGTGACTTTACCGAAAGAAACACAGAATATGAATTCCTATGCAGTCACGAAAGTTTTCAGAGTCAAAATTCATGGTCTAAACGTTTTCATATTTAGGGTGCGCGCAAGACTTTTCCATTGCTCGTGTGGCGTGCTTTGTTTTGTTTTTTTGCGTGTGTGTTGTGTGTGTGTTGGTGTCTGATTTATCTTTGCTTCGTTGCTGTACCTTGTGTGCACGCGTCCTCTTGCAAGCGAGACTCTCGTCCCGTCTTTTGACTTCCTCACCTGGTGAAACAAAGCCAATTCGACAGGTAACTTCTCCTCTCGTCCCCACAGAGTGGTACTAATGTTATCGACCCCCGGAGGGATGATGAGATGCGTCAACCCCCCCCCCCCCCCCCCCTCATTCCCCAACCAGAATTTGACCTCACAACCTTTCCAATCGCGAAATCGCTCGCTCAGCCACTGAGCCAGCTTTGCCGGATACATCATCGGAATCGGAAAATGTATTCATTATGGAGTGAATCCGATGAGCAATGAAGCTCTTTTTCAAGATTTTGACCGCATTGGCCACAACATTAGAGCAAAGAATCGAACATTTGATTGAATCGAGGTAGGGTGGGGAGAATCGTCAAAGGCCCCTAGCGGTCGGGGCTGATTCCACTGCGACGTGGAATTATATGAAGGGGCGCCACGGTGGCGAGGAGATGTTAACTACCTCGCCTGCTGTACAGAGGGTCGTGAGTTCGATCCCGTCGCTGGCGACTGCTGCTGTATATTTGGAGTTTGCGTGTCTCTCTCTCATCATCATACGGTGGCTAGGAGATGTTAACTACCTCGCCTGCTGTACAGGAGGTCGTGAGTTCGATCCCGTCGCTGGCGACTGCTGCTGTATATTTGGAGTTTGCGTGTCTCTCTCTCATCATCATCACGGTGGCTAGGAGATGTTAACTACCTCGCCTGCTGTACAGGAGGTCGTGAGTTCGATCCCGTCGCTGGCGACTGCTGCTGTATATTTGGAGTTTGCGTGTCTCTCTCTCATCATCATCACGGTGGCTAGGAGATGTTAACTACCTCGCCTGCTGTACAGGAGGTCGTGAGTTCGATCCCGTCGCTGGCGACTGCTGCTGTATATTTGGAGTTTGCGTGTCTCTCTCTCTCTCACCATCATCACGGTGGCTAGATGTTAACTACCTCGTCTGGTATACAGGAGGTCGTGAGTTCGATCCTGTCGCTGGCGACTGGTGCTGTATATTTGGAGTTTGCGTGTCTCTCTCTCATCATCATCACGGTGGCTAGGAGATGTTAACTAACCTCGCCTGGTATAACAGGAGGTCGTGAGTTCGATCCCGTCGCTGGCGACTGCTGCTGTATATTTGGAGTTTGCGTGTCTCTCTCTCATCATCATCAACGGTGGCTAGGAGATGTTAACTGCCTCGCCTGGTATACAGGAGGTCGTGAGTTCGATCCCGTCGCTGGCGACTGCTGCTGTATATTTGGAGTTTGCGTGTCTCTCTCTCATCATCATCACAGTGGCTAGGAGATGTTAACTACCTCGCCTGCTGTACAGGAGGTCGTGAGTTCGATCCCGTCGCTGGCGACTGCTGCTGTATATTTGGAGTTTGCGTGTCTCTCTCCCCGTGGTCGCGTGGATTTTCTTCGGGGTTTTCCGGTTTAATCCCTCCACAGTTTGAATCAACATCACGCGTTTGAGAGTACTTTGGTTGCTGTAAATATCCGCATGACAAGCCACTTCGTTGAGCCATCATCTGTGTGGTCAGGTCGCTTCTGAAAAAGAGCTGTACAGCTCAGTGTGTCTTACCTGGCAAAATAAACAAAACACTTTTTTTATGTAGTTTAATGAAACTTTCCACCGAGCAGACGTCCAATTAGAAGTTTGATAAGAGCGTTGGGGCGTGTGGGGGGGGGGGCTTATTTCGCCAGAGAAAGATTTCAAGTCGTGCGTAATTGCAGCGTATAGGGAACCAGCTAGCGAATGTAAACAACAACAACAACAAGAAGCAAACAGCAATAAACAACCGCCGCTTGAACGAGAGCGGAGGAGTCGGCGCCAATTACAGCGGCGAGCGATGCGACAGAGCAAACGCGCACGGTCACTCGTGAGAACGAGCGGGGGGGGTCCTCGCTGTTAAAGTGTCGAGCAGCCGAGCAGCGATTTCCATGACCCATGAGTCGTGGAAACAACAACAGCAGCAATAATGGTAATAAACGACAACGTTGGGGCAATTCATTATCGGAACGTTCTGACGTTCTCTAAGCAGCGGGCAAAACAAAAACCCGTCTTTCTTTCCTTTCTTCTCGCTGTCTTTTTCCGCCGAGAACAAGCAGAGAGAGTCGCGGTAAAACACAAAAAATTACAACCCCGCATCGAGCCTGCCTCGAGTTTTAATTAAACCACGAAGAGCCACCTCCGGCGGAGTGAGCCGCTCTAGCCGCTCGTACAATTAGTCGGCCCCCCTGCCCCCCCCCCCTTACCCCCCACCCCATGCCCTCCACCGCCGTATTTCAGCCACGGGGGGCGGTGACCTCGCCTCTTAAAGAGAAGCCGGCAGATTTACAAAGGCGGGATGGATGGGGGGGTTTGGAGGTAGGGGGAGAGGGGGGGGAGTAGGTAGGTAGGTATGGGACCCGACCCCGCGCGAATTGGAGGCGACCGTGCCCCCGTTGCTCGCTTTTGAACTTGGACCGAAGCCGCTTTTTTTGTTTTTGCCTCGACGCCAAAGATTTGTCACGCGAGCGGCCCCCGTCACCGCGGTCGCGATAACGAGCGGTGCCCCAATTAAAGTGGCGCGCCGGGCCCCCGAAGACGCCTACCTAGGGCCGCGGATGTCGGCGTCTTTGCTGCTGGGCCCCCAGCGTCAAGGAAATGAAAGGGAAGTTTCCGTGCGGTTTTTTTTAGTTTTTGTTTGATCTCCCGGTTGAAGGGGGGGGGGGTTCTTTTAACCGGGCAAAAATAACGAAAGCCATTGGGAGGGTTTATCTCTTATTCTTGGTTGTTTCGGTGAAGTCACGTAGATAGAAAAGAAAAGTAATAAAATCAATAATGATGAAAAATTATAATTATGAATTGAAAATAATTAAAGCTCAAAAATAACGATTTAATAATTATTTTAAATTTATTTTATTTTATTATCATTACCAAGAATATTAATTCCTGCAGTCACGAAAGTTTTAAGTCAAGGTTTATCTCTTGTTTATGTTTTTATATTCTCTAGGCTTAAAGAATATTCCGCAGGAAGAATTGCGCTAATTCGGAGCACGTGTGGAAAAGTTGGAACGGTTTTGAATGAAACGTGTCGGTCTTCCCTAACCGTTGCTCACACGTCTCCTGTAAACGTATTCGTTACTCCAACTTCTTCCGCCGATTTAATTCGATTTAAAGTTAATTTATTACATAGGAAAAAAACATCACGTGTAGCCAGTTACCCAGCTAGCTTTGGTGGCAACGGCCCGCAGGAGCCACTAACAACAAAGTCGTCGCTGGGGTGGAGAAGGAGCCAAGCCAGCGGCCAGCCAGAAAACTCGACGGATATATTATTTGTAAATGTAGTCGCACTTTTGTTAATTTGTTTTCTTTTATCTTGCCAAGCTTGGAAACCTTCCCATTAGGCTCCAGGGTGTTTGTTCGTCTCGCTGTAATCTGGCAGCCACCGGCTTCGCCCTCACCACCGGGGTGGCGGCGGCAGTGGCGTGATTAAGCGCGTGCCATGTGCACGCGGACGCAATGACAAAGATGCCCCGTATAGCCTTCACGCGCTGTTAGGGCAAGTGCTATTAGCGAGCACCTATGAAGAACCATGCTCGACCGCCTTTGTCTCCCCAGTGCTGATGTTTACACATTGCACTAGGTACTCATTTGAGGCTGAGTCAACCTCGGGGCGGGGGGGGGGGATTCAGATGATAATCGTCACTGATGTTGGTGACCGCGAGCGAGAATCGAGCACGCGTTGCCCGGTGTTCTTAGCGCAGCGCGCTAACCCCCGCTTCAGCCAACACACAACAACAACAACCGCCATTCGCCACTAAGTGGCGGTGGCGTCACCACGACGCTTGTGCCAGGCCAAGTGCACCTTGAGGCCACGTGAAGTGTCGAACGCCCGCTGGCAGGAGGTCACGGGGCAGACCCAGGTGCCACGGGTCGACTGACTGAGACGACTGGCTGTGCATTAGCCACCCGGCGCTCTGCTCGTTGTTGTGAGCGTCGCTATTCCGCCCTCCGTTGTTGGAGGGCGACTGCCTCCAACTGCCCAGCAGCGTCCTTCACGAGCCTCCTCTACAGAGACCGATCTTGACACCGCTGTACCAGTCATCGGCAAGTCCACTCAGTTCCACGTCCTCCTGTACCACATCACTCCATCTCTTCTCTAGCCCGTGCCGCGCCCGTTAAGCCCCCTTTATCCGGCCGAACAAAAGCTGTTTAGGCATGCGTTGGCTGGGCATGCGGGCTACATGACCCAGCCAACGTAGCCTTGCCTGCCGGAGGAGTTCACCGATGGGACTTTGCCCAAACCTTTCAAGGATTTGTGAGCTCCTCACACAATCCAGCCTGGTTAAACCCAGGATGGATCGTAGGCAGGCTAGCCTAAATGTTTCCAATCGGCGAAGATGTTCCATTAAGGGGGTCCACGCAAGCGTAGAGAAGGAGGGAATGACCGTGGCCGAGAAGACTTGAAGCTTTGTGCGGAGCGACAGACCAGGTAGCTTCCACACAGCGTTACGCAACCGATTTAAAAATATTGCCGCTCGGCTGATTCTGAGTGAGACCTCTGCTGTCAAATCGGAGCCGGTCATAAGCACACTGCCCAGGTGTGGGAAACTCTCCACTCTCTCCACAGCTGCCCCATCACCGATTTTGAGTTGTGGGCGTGGAGTGCCCGATGGTACAAAATACCCAGGCAGGTGCTTAGTTTTGGTGGGACTGATGGTAAGGCCCCACCTCTTAGTGGCACGCTCCAGTCTCAGCAGCAGCGTCTCCAACTCCTCCTCTGAGTGAGCAGCTATTACCAAATCATCGGCATACATAACGTGGTTGACCAATAGGGAGCCATCCCTTGACCGCACCCGAGCATCGATCAGCCTCCCATTGTATCTGTAGCAGATGGAAATTCCCATGGCACAGCCATCAAAGGCTTCACGAACTACGTGGTCGAAAAATACGTAAAATAATGTGGGAGCCAGAGGACATCCCTGTCTCACCCCAAGGTGAACAAGGGAATGGCTCCGACTCCCGGCCACGTAGTTTTACCCGGGCCCGCTCACCATCATGAAGGTCCTTAATGATCGTGAGCAGAGGGTGAGGGACTCTGAAAGCACTAAGAACAACCCAGAGCGCAGTGATAGGGGTTGGGGTAGTGATACAGGAAGAGACGACAGGTGAGGCAGCGACGAGCTCAGCCTCCCCTCTGATTGCGCAACGCCTCAGTAACTGGATGGAGCGTGGGCAATACGCGCGTGCCTGCTACTATCTCAGTATGTCACCAATGTGATGTTTGTAGACCCCTTCATTTCACGTCCTCGCCTTCCATACTCCAGGTAACCTATTTCACGTGTGTGTATAAAGATATTTAGGCTCGCTGGTCTCGTCATCAAACTGCAATGAGGCACCAGGGGAGGCAGCGATCACATCTGCCTCACTGAGGGGGACGTGTCTAACACGCCCCCTCAGTGAGGACACGCCCCCTCAGTGAGGACACGCCCCCTCAGTGAGGCCACGCCCCCTCAGTGAGGACACGCCCCCTCAGTGAGGACACGCCCCCTCAGTGAGGACACGCCCCCCTCAGTGTGTTAATCTGGCTCTGATACTAGCTCGTGCCTCCCCAGCCATTGACCACACCTCACTGCTCTGCATCTACATCAGCGGCCGTACGAGAGAAGAATAAGAAAACGAAGCGGCAGGAAACAGAGGCAAGAGGGTGGCCGGGAAAACGACGACACTGATGGAGTGGAGGAGGAGGAGGCGGAGGAGGAGGCATTAGAAGGGAGAGGAATAATGTCTTTAACTTGTGAAAGAAGAGGTGCACAAGAGGTGCACAAGAGATGCATTCCCACGACGATGATGCTGCTGCTTGAAGTTGGTGAACCCAGCCACCTACGCCAAAGGGCTGAAGGGAAATACAAAGAGGGGATGATAAAACTGGTCAACACACTTTTTCTTCCAACGGTTTTAAGGTAATTTTGGTGTGCTGATTCCAAATCTGGCATCAGTTTTTGCCTATCACATCAGGTTTTTGAGATATCAAATATTGCATTTTCAATCAAAACTGCAGAAGAAAAATATTAAATAAATGTGGATATCTACATAAAATTATATTATAAACACACTATCCTAAAAATACAGCACCATATTTTAACACTCAAGCAGTCACTGACTCACAACAACTTGCAATCATAAGTGACGGAGTTAATTTCGGGTAAAATCAATGAAAATGGGGTATGCCGATAGCATAAAATGAGATGTGATAGAGCAAATCTGAGATCAGATTTGGAATCAGCACCCTGAAATTAGTCTAAAACAGCTGCAACAGTCCAGGCCAGAAAAAAATGTTTTTTTTGTTGACCAGTGTTATTGTGTGTGGGTGGCAACCCCACCTGGTTTCATGTGAATCGTCTGATAGGCTGTTGTTGTTATTGTCTCGGTAGTGCTGGTGGTGGTGGTGGGGAAGCGGTAGGGTAGTGGTTAGTACGCTACAAACCCGGCTACCTGAGTTCGATTCCCGCTCACGGCCACCAACACCAGCGACGATGATCTGAACCGGTCACAGGCCTCCCCGAGATCGACTCAGCCTCAAAATGAGTACCGAGTGCGATGCGTAGAAAGATCGCCACTCGGGAGACAAAGGCGGCCGGGCGTGGTGCTGTCCACCCACCCCCTCGTGTCAACCGTGCCGGCCTTCATAGGTGCTGCTCGCTAACAGCACTTGCCCCAACAGCCTGTTGATGGCTAGACAGGTCGGTGGATCTCTCTGCCTTTGTCTTTGCAGGACTACGAGAAGTGGCAGTGGTGGGTGGGCGAGCTCGACGGCAAAGTGGGGCTCGTGCCGCGGGCGTTCCTCGCCGCGGCGTACGAGATGTGACGCGCGCGCCACTCGGGAGAGACGTCACGTGGTCATGGAGACTCACAACCACCAGCAGAGCCGGCCACAGGAGCACGGGGAAACTCACCCACTGTGTGCCCCCCCCCCCCACCCCCACAACTCTACCCGATGCCTTCAAACTAAACCGAAAGTGTTACACTTGACACCGTGACGTCAAAGCGCCCCGTCCCCCCAAAGCGCGGGGCCCGGGGCGTAACCCCTAGAGACGGCTCTGACAACCACCTTTCCTTGCTTTAACCACCAAATCATTACGATAACCACCATCCCTATATCTGACCACCAACCAGAACTGCAAGCACGAACCTAAATTCCAACCACGCACTTACACACAGACGTATACATTCACACAGAGACCCACAAACTTACAGAGAGACCCATAAACTCACAGAGAGCCCCACAGACTCGCACAGAGACCCATAAACTCATAGAGAGACACATAGACTCACACAGCAGAGACCCATAGACTCACACAGAGACCCATAGACTCACACAGCAGAGACCCATAGACTCACACAGAGACCCACAGACTCACACAGCGACCCACAAACTCATAGAGAGACCCATAAACTCACGCAGAGACCCACAGACTCACACAGAGACCCACAGACTCACACAGAGACCCATAGACTCACACAGAGACCCACAGACTCACACAGAGACCCACAGACTCACACAGAGACCCACAGACTCACACAGAGACCCATAAACTCACACAGAGACCCACACACTCACACAGAGACCCATAAACTCACAGAGAGACCCACAGACTCGCACAGAGACCCATAAACTCACACAGAGACCCACACACTCACACAGAGACCCATAAACTCACACAGAGACCCACAGACTCGCACAGAGACCCATAAACTCACACAGAGACCCACACACTCACACAGAGACCCATAAACTCACACAGAGACCCATAAACTCACACAGAGACCCATAGACTCACACAGAGACCCACACACTCACACAGAGACCCATAAACTATCGCAGAAACCCATAGACTCGCACAGAAACCCATAGACTCACAGAGAGATCCACAGACACGCACAGAGATCCATAAACTCACACAGAGACCCATAGTCTCACAGAGAGACCCACAGTCTCGCACAGAGACCCATAGACTCACACAGAGAGCCAAACACTCACACAGAGACCCACACACTCACACAGCAACCCATAAACTCACACAGAGACCCACAGACTCGCACAGAGACCCATAAACTCACACAGAGGCCATAAACTAACGCAGAGACCCATAGACTCGCACAGAGACCCATAGACTCACAGAGAGACCCACAGACACGCACAGAAACCCATAAACTCATAGAGAGACACATAGACTCACACAGCAGAGACCCATAGACTCACACAGAGACCCATAGACTCACACAGCAGAGACCCATAGACTCACACAGAGACCCACAGACTCACACAGCGACCCACAAACTCATAGAGAGACCCATAAACTCACGCAGAGACCCACAGACTCACACAGAGACCCACAGACTCACACAGAGACCCATAGACTCACACAGAGACCCACAGACTCACACAGAGACCCACAGACTCACACAGAGACCCACAGACTCACACAGAGACCCACAGACTCACACAGAGACCCACACACTCACACAGCGACCCACAAACTCATAGAGAGACCCATAAACTCACGCAGAGACCCACAGACTCACACAGAGACCCACAGACTCACACAGAGACCCATAGACTCACACAGAGACCCACAGACTCACACAGAGACCCACAGACTCACACAGAGACCCACAGACTCACACAGAGACCCACAGACTCACACAGAGACCCATAGACTCACACAGAGACCCACAGACTCACCCAGAGACCCACAGACTCACCCAGAGACCCACAGACTCACACAGAGACCCACAGACTCACACAGAGACCCACAGACTCACACAGAGACCCACGGATTCACACACAGACCCACAGACTCACCCAGAGACCCACAAACTCACACAGAGACCCATAGACTCACACAGAGACCCACAGACTCACAGAGAGACCCACAGACACGCACAGAGACCCATAGACTCACACAGAGACCCATAGATTCACACAGAGACCCACAGACTCACCCAGAGACCCACAGACTCACCCAGAGATCCACAGACTCACACAGAGACCCACAGACTCACACAGAGACCCACAGACTCACACAGAGACCCACAGACTCACACAGAGACCCACAGACTCACACAGAGACCCATAGACTCACACAGAGACCCACAGACTCACACAGAGACCCACACACTCACACAGAAACCCACAGTCTCGCACAGAGACCCAAACACTCACACAGAGACCCAAACACTCACACAGAGACCCAAACACTCACACAGAGACCCATAGATCTGCCTCGACAGTCTCCCGCCATCTGCTCTTCGGTCTTCTCTTCCCATTGGTCGCCAGTCTCGTGGAGATCGCTCCAATGCCCGGATGTGAACGTTGGCTCCTCCTACTCCTCCTCCTCCCCCCGCCCTTCATCCTAACGCCGTGATTTTTATTTTATTTTACTTTTTAATGTTTTTACCTACGTGACTTTACCGAAAAAAACCTAAGAATATGAATCATTGCAGTCACGAAAGCTTAAAATCTAGACTTGAAGCATGTTGCCACAAGGCAGAGAGGAAAGTGGAAACGAATGACGAAAATGTTCAGCTACGGGCTATCTGCCCATGGGTTGTGATGATGAACCTATAACCACTAAATCCCATAACTCTAACCCGTAACTTAAGCTACAACTATTTTTTCATTACCCTTATTACGTGGTAGCCCCAATTCTTAATCCCTGTCTCGAAACGTTAACCTTACCTATAACACCTAACCATCAACTTTAACCATCACCCTCACCCTAATCCCGAACTCCGAACTTGAATCCCATGACTCATAAGCATAACCCTAACATAATCCTCTAAACCTCACTCGACCGTAACCCTATCCCACCACTAACAATAGCTTCGCCGTCCCATGCTTTGCTTGATCAGTGGGATCGCCTTGCTTATGCCACAGAAGTGCGCAGCTGGCCTTGGTTCGCCGATGAGCCCTAATGGGAAGGAAGCACGTGCCCTGTCTGCCTCAGGCTTTTTTTGAAGGCATCGTCGGTCGGATTGAGCGGAATTTGCGAGTGGACGCGTGCGATTTCACTGTTTTACAAAAAAAAAAATGTTAACGTTAAAATCTCTTCGTGGCCAAATGAACGTGATTTAACGGTCTTAATAAAGTAATGATTTGTCAAAATACAATCCGTGTGTAATGTTTTTGTTTTATATGATCAGTAAGGGATTGGAACTTCCGCCAAGAGACATTGTTCGGAAACAAGAATTTACCAAACGAAGTGAAACACAAAACATCGTCACAATCGCCAGTTGACGCTGCCCTAAAAGGGGGTACAAAATAATATATAGGCGACGTTTCAGGCTACGACCCTTTTTTGTGTGTTTTGCATAGGACAGCACACTGGTTCGCAAGATTGATGCACAGGCACCTGCCCTGTCTCCACTGGGAGCCACGAGCCAGTCGTGTAAATTCCACATTCCTATGGCGGGGTTAGTTTACCCATGCGACAAGTACTGTTATGAAGTACTGTTATGAAGTACTGTTTGTTGACCACTGTTTGTTGACCACAGCATAGCGCTTGTTTTATCGAACCCCGAATTTTTGCCCCCCCCCCCCCCCACAGAGTGATGATAGTTGTCCCCCCCCCCCCCCCCTCTGCACCCCGTCCATTCTCCAAGCCAGCGGTCCCAACCTTTTTGGAACCAGGGGCCGGTTTCGTGGAAGACAACTTTTCACGGACCGGCGGGGGGTGGGGTCATCATTGGGTCTTCCCCCCTTTTCAAAGAAGCTCTCCAGCTACGTTTGTTTTTTTAACTCATTGTGGCTACTAGGGGTTAGAGCTTGTGGGCTTACCAACACTGTGACTGTGACAAGTGCGCAGTGCGGGAAAGAGGCGCGGATGGAAGTGGTGAATAATAAAATAATGGGGGCGGGCAACACGCGCGGACTCACCGCTCTCACCTCATGCTGCTGTGCGGCCCGGTTCCTAACAGGCCACCGACCGGTACCGGTTGGGGACCCCTGCTCCAAGCCGGGCTTGGACTTTGACGCTTGAGACCGCGATGCTCGGTGACACGGGAAACGCGTTGAGAGAATGAAGGCGTCCCCGCGTCCGTGTCGGTTAGATCGTGGGGGTTGTTTGGCCAACTCTTCACCACGCCGGTCGTCGTCAATGGGCGGTCATTTGTAGCCGTGGTAGGCGAACCGAATGCAGAGTTTTTTAAATCCTTTATATTAAGTTCGCTTGCTTGCTTGCTTGCGTGCTTGCGTTCTTGCTTGCTTGCTTACGACCGTGTAAATCTTTCGGTCGTTTTTTTTAACCCACTTCCCGTGATCCAATCGAGCTGACATTTTCCACACAGACTCGTTGTGCGTGACAATTAATTTTCGTGAAAAAACATTTCCAAAATTTTACACTGTTTAGGGAAAAATAAATAACTATTTAATTACCAATTGCTTAATGCTGGCAGACAATCATCTGACCCATAGGTGGCAGCCATCTCAAGCCAGAGGACGAGAGGACTCTAGCCGCCACGCATATAAAGGATTTATAGTGAAAAACTTTGTTTTTACGGGTAAATTTTTTTGGGGCCGAGTTCATACATTTCCACGCGATAAGCCGCTTCGTTGAGCTGTCATTTGTGGCCAGGTCGCTTCTGAAAACAGAAGGATAATAGCTCAGTGGGCTTTACCTGGTCAGATAAAAAAAAATAGTTGAGTTTTATTTGCATATTTTTTTAAGTGATTTGTTTACATTTCCTATACGTTGCACTCCTATTCTGTTTTTGTATTGTTTGTTTTTGTAACGTTCTGACCCGCAACCTATTGGACGTCGATTAAAAAGGAGCTTCATAGCTCATCAGATTCCTCCGGTATAAATGATTCTGATCAACCGCACTGCGCTAACCGCTGCGCCACCGCTCCACCCAACTGTATTATCACAGTGATAAAGTACGGATTATGGATTAGGATGCGCGTTCAATTGCTCCGTACCGCGTCTTGCTTGACGCGCCGTCGCATTAATTCGCGACCATAAATCCTCACCCTTTACCTCGCATTGTCGCGAGCACTTTTTTTTTACAAACGCATCTCCAGCCTCCCCCCCCTATCCCCCCTCCCCCCGCGTTTGAAAATAATCTCCATCATTTGTCCCCGTGGCGCTAATGTCATCGTCTCATCCCACCCTGCACCCCCACCCCACCACCCCAGCCATGCCACGCTTTAACGGTGAGCGCGCTGGATGTGCGCTCGACCGATGAGTCTCAATGATGACGGAAACAGGTCGGATGGGTTTTCTCCCATTGGTCGCGCTGATTGACCCCCCCCGCCCCGTCGTAGTTGGGCTGGTTGGTCAAATTCGCTCCGTTTATTGGTGGCGACTAATGGGAAGAAAGCCACAAAAGCGGTTCTTGAGGAAGCGGTGGTTTTACGTTATCCTTAAGCCTGAGAG